GTTTGTATCTCTTGGAGATGCCCGAGGTGTATCCCGATGAGAACGGCGCTGATCTCTAATCCAGGAGCCTGCCTGAAGGGAAGGGCCGCTGAAAGCAGAATAAATCTGCCCCTTGGGTTTCTTGTCTTCAGAGGGATTTATCTTAGTCTTAAAGTATGAGAGCAATTAAGCTAATGTTTAATTTTTGTAAACCTTTAGCCTTTGTTCCTTGGTAACCTTTGTACTGAATGTGACAAACCTGACACTGCAGAACCCTCGTTCAGAGGAGGGAACTACAGATCAGCGTGTTTCCAGTTAGTCTAATGGTAGCCAGAGCAGCCCTGAATAAACACTTATCATTATGAAAGGTTTTAACTGAAGTCTGACTGGAAAGGAGTTGATGTTCCAGCACTCTTCTGCTTATCACTAGGTCCACAGGAACATATTTGTTCTCGTATGACGTTCCTTTCTCGCGGCAGGAGGATGCCACTCTGATTCTTCAAAATAAGTTGAATAACTTTGCTCTCCAGTTCCCTGTCAGAACATCTTTAGAACGAAGTCTTCATTTTGCAGCCTGGTTTCTGAAATTAACAGTGTATCTTATGTTTGAGGATGCAGATTTATAGTATCTCTTGGAATAAAGCTTAACTAGATAAACTGAGTAATGGAGACCTGCTGCTTCCAGTGCTTATTTAGTGGTAGCACTGCCCTTAAGACCAGCTCATTCCTGAAGTCCAAAACATATGGCTTACATACTTCCTGTGAAAAAGGGTGTTTACCGGGGAGTAACTTGCTCCAGCACTAGAACATGAGGATAATTGTTATCAGACCACCATCCTGTTTTGGTATCAAACATAATTTGACTTCCTTTATTCTATGTGTAGTGCAGAAACAGACACAGTGGACACTTTGCTTCTTACTTTCAAAAGCCTTAGACAAACATTATGCCTAACAGTGGCTTTATGTTCCAAACAGTCTATGGAACATTAAAGTAACTGTTGGGGAACCAATTTCTTTGAAGAAGGTTCTGTCATTGATCGTTCTCACAAAGTGCTAGGACCAGCAAGAGGCATTCCTGCTCTACATGCATTCAGCGTGACTGTTGCAGAGTATTTCCTTGTGAAAAAGTCAATCTGTTAAATGCTTCTAGATTGAATTGATATCTAAAAGTAGTTCTTAAGCTGCTTTTCAAGAGATTTTTTTGTCAAGTCACGTCAATTGATTTGTCATGAAAGGCAGAAGTGTTATTGGAGAGCTTTCTCTAGAAAGAGGTTCATAAAATAATAAATATGATAATATGATCTCAGGATCTGGGAAGTCTGTGTGTGAGCTTTATGTCATCTTTCCTTGTATGCACTACGGTTGCATTTGAGCTTTGGCCTGTTAAATAGGCATGGGAGACGGTGCTTGTGGACTTTTGACGGTCCTGTTTTTTAACAGAAGGTTGATTTGTTGACTGTCAGAGCCTGTACTCTCTCCCTCCGTGTTAAAAGGCGCAGCAGACTGCAGCCATGCAAAATGTACTGGTTCAGTCATGGTGTCAAATGATCTGATGGCTTCTGTTGCCATTTATGTTAGAGATTTCCTATCATCTGATCAGTACCTTAATAAATATCAGGCAGTTGTAGTCTCTAGTGCATATTAGCTTATTAAGCTGTTTTGTAATTAAATAGGTGAATGCAAATTTCTTCTTGAAACAATACTAATTCTTACGTCAACGCTTAAGGGTCGTGATCAGGGATTTGTGGATTTACTTTTTTTAACCGTAACCTTTTTTGAACTCCTTGGTCACAGGTCAGTTGGATAAGTTTTCTTTCAAATACTGGGCCAAAAGTAATAAATGTCTTGGGCAGCTCTCGACTGAAGTTTGAAGATCTTAACTTCAAAATATTGTGACAAGCAATCACCAGCTTCTTGACATACACTTTTTAAGAATCAGTGTCTCATCAACAAACAGGTTTTAATTTAAGTCTCTTAATAAATGATTAGATAAATACATGGACAGGAGCTTCATGGAGTGTTAATGTCAGTATTGAGAATTCTGTTACTTGTCATAATGGTGGATACTGGGTGAGTGTGGGGGGAATGGCAGAGCGTCGCCAGGCTCGTGTGTCTCACACAGCATCACTTCATGTTGCCATGGTCAGGGTTGGAATAGTGGCCTGATCCAGTAGGCCTTTCGTTATGTGGAGAGCTGTCCTGTTCAAGCTTCCTGGACATGTGAAAAACTAATTTCCCGTGAAAGATGAAGCATAACCACTGCTTCAGAAAGCAGGAAGTGCTGTATGAATCAAATAATACAGTGCTGTTATCTAGTCATTAGTAACTTGATGTCTCATGAGATTTCAGTGGTAAATCAATGTTTACATATATTTACAGTCAAATTCTTAATTTCTCTCCAGTCTGACAATACTAGGTCTTCAGGTTATATCAGTTCACTTGCTATGTTCTCTGAGCAGGAGAGAGTGAGTTCAAGTGGAAATGTGTGGCTTCTAGGTCCTGTATGTCGATACAAAAACCTTGTGACAGTTTATTGAGTAGCTTCCCATGGAAAATTTCATTCAAAGACAAGAAGTTATATATGTCAACAATTATGCAAACACACACAAGTTATATGTAGGCTGAGTAGTCTCATTGCCTTCACATTTTTAAACTCTGTTAGTTTTATATGAACTTGACTGAATGACATTTCTCCATCTACCGAAGACATTCATGAGGCTCTAGCAATTAAGAAACTTAATTGTGTTTTGTGTTTGTCAAGAAACTGCGTATAATAGCATTTCAGGAAGTGAATATCAATTTAATTGAAAATTATTTGGCAAAGAATTTATTCCTCCTGTCTCTGTAATTAGCACCACAGACAAAACGAGTTACTTCTCTGTGACTACTGATATTTTTTCTTAATCTTTTGAACAGCCATTGTTCTAGGTTTTGCTGTGCAATCAGCGTCTGATACTTCAGAGCACCATAAGGCAGCACCAAGAAACGTGTAATGAAGGAATGGTATCTGTTTAAGTTGTATTAGTGATGCTGCGTTATTTATTATGAAACTCAGGGCGGAAAAACCCAACCTTTGGTTTGCAAGAGAATACTACATCTACTGGGAGATTACAGAAGCTGTTATGGCACAGTGTTAATGCAGGTGTGGTTTAGTGCTTGTTTATTGATTATCGTGAAAATGAGGGAACTCTAATGGGTTTTGATATGACAGCAGGTTAGAACTAAAACACAGGAAAGAAGCACTCTTCCTAAGCTGCTTAGCTTTATTTTGCACATAGGCAGGCGAGTGAGTTATGTATAGAAAAACTATTTCTTCCCCAGGTTCTTGCGTATCTAAACAAAAACTTTGTAGAAAAGTCTACTTTCTTATTGTCTTACGGTTGAGGGGTAGGTAAAGGGGAAGCATGACTGTGCCCAGAAGAAAAAGGATGGGAAAGTAGACCTTGAGTGGTGACGTTACTTAACCTTATGTCAGAATATATTACGCTTGGTTATGTTCTTCTGTTGCTTTAACTACAGCTACTAGTTCACTGAAAGTAGCAATGAAGAAGTAGAACACTTACTGCTTAAAAGAGATGCTGAAGATTACTCATTAAAAGTACTTCTATTTTAAAAGAGCACAAGAAAAGTGTTTCAGTTGTTTGCAAATCCCTGCCTCTGACTCTTCTGATAACAGTCCTCTTGTGCATTGAGAGTAAGACTTCAGAGAAGCAGGTGAACAAGGCTTAGCAAACTTCCTTTTGGCCTAGTGGTACTGAATGGTATTAATGCATGTGGTAGCCTTCACAGTAGTTGATCCTCATTATTATAAGGCTCTGAGGCCATAAATTGACTTCTAGGACTGAAGTGACAAAATGGTTGTTGTATTTATCTTCAAACTACCCAGCCCTTTCTTTTGTAAACTGCAGTAAATGTGGAAGGCCCTGGTGCTAGCTTTGTGTTTCTGGCATGCTTGGGGGTTGCATCTGTCCTGTGAATCCAAGGTAGATGGTATGACTTATCCTCTCCAAACCCTTCCAGACTCTAAAAAATATCTGGGTTGCTGTGTGAAAGTTCACTATTACCCTACTGTCAGCACGTGTTACAGAACTGTGGGTGTTTGGACATGTTCATTGGGACAGTGTCCTTAGAAATAAAGCTTTATCTTAAGTTCAGAAGCAAGCAACAAGGAATATTGATCATTACTTAGAAAGGGATAGTTCTAAATGTGGAATGTTAACTTCAGGAGCTTCAAGGTGCAATACTGTGATAGAATTGAATGAACTCTGAAGCCAGTAGAGGGGTCTCGTTGTTCAGGGCCGATGAAAATGTCATGATGGCAGTACCAGTATTCAGAGTTTTTCTGCAGGAAGTCAGTTATGAAATTGCACAAAAATATCTGATACACAACTGGCATTAGTTATTCATATGAAGGCTGGCAAACAGATAGCTTTTCTAGACTTCATACTTAGTTAAACAAGCACTGAGACTGGAGAGCTGAAATGAAGGGATGTTTGACTATTGATCTCGTCCCAATTACCATACTTGTATTGCCATATGACAGCATGCTGGTACAGTTCCATTTCCTCTTCTGCTTGCAGTATGCTCAGTCAGCATGCTGACTCTGCATGTTACTCACAAGTTCTAGGGAGCTCAAAACAGACGGGAAGTTTGTTCTAATACTTTTGGTGCCTCTGACCTGGTTACCCTCTGGAGACAGCTCAGTGCTAGTTAGTGGCTGTTTCTGTGCAGAAGAAAAATGACCTTAAGACAAACTGTCTGTTTCATCTGAGCTGCAGCCCTTGGCAATGATGTTGTTCCTTTTACCTCAGTCTACCAGCCTGAGTAGTGAAGACCGTAATGAGTGTCTGTTGGTGTGACAAGAAAACTTCATTGTATTACCACTGTTCCTGGAAGCATCTTCAAAACTTAAAAGCCCTCTTGCCTAGCTGGTGATTTTTGTCTTCAGAAAGGCTCCTGTACCTTGCAGAGGAGTAGCAATCAGACAAAGTAGTGACCATCTTTGAGATATAGGAGGCTGGTTATAAAATACTAGGTTCTCTGAAAATAACTGAAAAGCTAATTTTTGTTAACTTGAGTCTTTCTCTACGGAAGTTAGTAACTATGTATCTTCCAACTTAACTGCCATTCTTGAACTGATGAGTTTACAGTCCTCTACCTAGCACAGTTAATGATTGCTATTCATGGCTCAGGGATAAAGACTTAAAATACTTGCGTACTTCCCCGGTAAGGGAGTATGAAGAGCTTCTTGTGTGCCATTAACACTGGTAGCATGAAACTGGTACACCCCTAGCCATAAAGAAATAAAAGATACAGCAGCATAATGCTCTTAGTTTTACGTGGGTCTGCTATCTGTTTTTAAGAAGATGGTGCAAAATAACTTAATATTTCTGCTTACTGTAGTGTGGGCTTGGTACAGTCACTTCTTTCACTGAAGGGTGTATTAAGATGGTGGAAACAGTTCTGTGTGATAAGCTTATCCATGGTGGCATTACGGGTGAGAGATACTTGGTGTATCATGCAGGCAGATGTTATGTGATGCTGCTCCAGAGAGATGCCCTCCTGAGATTTAGCAGTTCTTGAAAATCTTGGTGTATTTTGCGTAGTCCAGAGATTTAAATAGTTTCACAAACTTAGAAGTTTATCTCACAAGTGACACGTGTTCCCTTTGTCTGTGTTTTAATAAGGTGAAATTTTAAGGTTCTGTAGCTTATCAGTTCCTGAGGCTCAATTGCCACTGTCACTTCAGGGATAACAATGCTGCAGCTGAAGTAGGAAGCTACCAAGCACGTCATCACAGATGGTAGCAGAGACATGACTGCTAGGAATGTTAGCTATATCTTTTGAGCTGATTAGGACGTAACCAGACTAGGATAAGAATTACTGAGTGTTGGCTGCCAGATTATCAGTCTTCCAAGTAGACACTGAAACAGGGACAGTCATCCATTTTAACTTTGGAACAGTTGTACAGCAGTCAGCTTCTAAGACTGGGAGGAGAAAGTGGGAGTATCTTTGGAACACTGAAGCGGCTTCTCAGCAGTATCAGCTCTACTGTTTATACAGTTTGAAGCAGGAACTTATGGTGAAGAAATGCCCTCATATTACTGGTTCTGCAAAATAATGGCCCACCTGTTTTTTCATGCCTGTCCAGAAAAGTGCAGGGAAAAAGAAGTGTCCTGTAGGGTATCAAGGAACACTCATTTTCACAACTCTCACATTAGATACTCTAGTAAAGCTTTTCATACAAGTTACTGAAATCAGTAAATCTGGCTGTTCTGTCTTTTCTCAAATGACTAAACGAGTCACCTCTTTGCAGATGCTGTTGATGGAGTGGTTAACGGGGATGTCTCTCAGGTAAGATAGAAGTATTCTGTGCTGAGAATGTACTGTTCTACTCTGAGAACTTTATCTTAATATAGACTAATTTAAGTTAATATAGACTTTAACTTAATGTAGACTTCCCGTTTATTATCTCTAATGTGCTTTTGTCTCATCTCTGAAAAGGAACTTCTAGTAGCTCATCTCATAAAGTTGTCAGTGCTCTTAATATGCCCCTCTTCTGAACTTGGACTGCTGCTTTAAGTTGCCTCTATTTTGAATTGTGGTTTAGTAGTACACAAGCACTGTAAAGCAGGCTGACAGGCTCTGTGATATGGCTTCACATTGACTCGCCACTGATAAGCTAAAAGCATGCTCTGATTACCTAGTTTAAGGCAGAGTTTTCAGATTTGCTTGCTCTTTAAAGATAATTCATGCATCCTGGTTGCCTTATTGAGATTGGTCTTACAAGGAGCTGACTGAAAACATTACTTATTTCTTAGTGACATAGAGTTGCATGAAATTAAGCTGGTGGCTAAATAGCTCAATCAGAATATGAAAGCATGTTGGACAGCCATGGTAATGACAATAGGAGGAGATACCTGCTTTATTAGTGTCAGGGAGGAATGAGGCATGCTAAGGCAATCACTGTGTTGTAACTGAATTTCACGCCAGTTTGTCCAAGGCATTGTCATTGCCTGGTGTCACAGTTGGCTGGTTAGCCCTGATTAAATGAATGCTTGGGGAGGAAGCAACATATGAGCTACTTACTTCTCCTTGGAGTTCTCAGTGAATGCGGAGCTCTGTGGAGACACAAACCACTTTCACTGCTGCTAATATTTTTATATCCTCAGCATTGCTGTGAGATTGATGGGAAAATTGTATTTTATTGGCCCTTTGTACTTCCTTATACAACAGAGGGTAGATTAAATACCTTGATTTTGTGTTTGAAATTCTAAGAGACCAGTTGCTTTGGTTGATAGAGCTTCCTCTTTATGAGGAAAAATGGACTGAATGGTCTATACATAACTTTTGTTTTAGCTTTGCAGCTGGCCAGTATATTTTGCTTTGGGTGGAATATTAAGCTTGGTGGTGTTGCACCAGGCTAGCTCCTTCTCTTTGCATTATTCCTTCATTGAGGACTACAGGAGGTCCAAAGAGGGGCAAGGCACAGCCAAATAAATCTGTGGTTAACTGCAGTCAGTCTGGTACTCTGAGGAGAGATGTTTCTTAGCTCTGTTAAGGGTAGGATGAAGCGATAGAAATTGTTAAACTTGTAGTATCCTCTATAGCAAATAGCACAATATTGATTAGCTTTGTGAATTCAGTGTACTAATGATAGCACTATTCATTGCAAGTGTTTGAGCTGTTATATAGTAAAAAGTATGCTAGTACTCACCCTGTTTTGATGCTTAAATAATGAAATACCTCTAGTGTTATAAGCTGCACACAGCAATCCAGATTTTGTGATGTGTCTGTTAGGTTTACAAATGTCTCTGATGCAGACAAGTAAGTTGCAGAGAATGTTTTAAACTCCTATGCACAAAATAATAAAAAAATTACTTTCACAGTAAAAATTTAAGGTGAAATGAACTTGGATAATATCTAGGCTTACAACTGTATAGTAAGGCTCTAGGCATTGTCTTCTGTGTTCTTCAGGCTTAGTGCTCTGCCACTAAGTACATGTGGTGCTTGTCTTGCCAGTCATCCTGAATTTTTGTTTGATTTCTAGAGACAGTCCTGTATTAATTTCCTTCAGTCCTGATGTAATTTGTGGCAAGACGTTTTTCCTATTAATGGTGGAAGCGTGTTATAACGTCAGATGAATGGGCTCAGTTCAAACAGAGACTAATTTTGCGTAGCTTCTAGGCAGTTATCTGAAATATTCAGTTGTCATGTGTAAATGACTGTACTGTTCCTTTTCTCTGAGGAGACTAATGGTCCTACAAACTGCTATGCTGCCATATCCCAAGCAGATCGACTGCAGTCAGAACCAGAAAGTATTCGTAAGTGGAGAGAAGAGCAAAAGGAACGCCTGGAGCAACTTGGTAAGGAAGGTATTTGTGAGTAACTTAGTGTCAGCTGCTCTCAGGCCGAGAGAGTTGGGGTTGTTCACCTTGGAGAAGGCTCTGGGGAGAATTTAAAGCAGCCTTCCAGTACCTAAAGTGGACTGACAGGAGAGTGGCAGAGGGACTTTTTACCATTTAATAATGGCTTTAAACTGAAAGAGGACAGTTTTGGATTAGCTATTAGGAAGAAATCCTTTACTGTGAGAGTGGTGAGGCACTGGCACAGGTTGCCCAGAGAAGCTCTGGATGCCCCATCCTAGGCTGAAAGGGACTTCGAGCAGTCTGGTCTAGTGGAAGGTGTCACTGCCGTGGCAGGGGACTTAGAACTAGATGATCCTTAAGGCCTCTTCCAACCCAAGCCATTCTGTGATTCTTAAGCAGTGGATTTCTCAGCTGTGGCTCTGCCTCTTCCAAGTCTTAACATGCCTCTTGAGTTTGAGCAGCAAGTCTGGATGAGTGTTCCAGCAAGCAGACTTAATACTGGTGTGGAAGTCAGCAAGCGAGTGGCTCTCTGAACCTGTACTTACAGATAAGCTGACAGAAAATGAACAGCTTTTGTAAGTAAAACAAGATAATAATAATAATAAATAAATACTGCAGTCCTCAGTACTTTTTTCCGAAGTATAAAGATTGCTTATTTTGTAATTGCTGAGGCCATCTGTTGCCACATGGATCTTAATCTAATAGCTAAATTAAGACAGTAGTGGATTATTAACTAAACTAAATGCAGTGGTACCTACCCATCCACAGCATCTAAGAGCCTATAAACTTATATGCTTTTCACTTGCATTGTGGAAGAGCCTTTGCTTGAAATTGTTAGGATAGAAACTTCTGTAAAATGTGGTTCTGGACAGAGCTGACCCTGTTGATTCTCTTTTGGGCTAGTTACAGCAGATGAGCTTGTCTTGAACTGTAGGTTGTTGTAAAAGTATGCTGAGTGCCAGATTCCCTCACTTAGTCTAAAGTGACAGAGTTTGATGAGATTTGTTCTCATACTGGCATAGCAAGGTTTGAGCAGTCTGCAGACCAACAGACTTACTGAATCTGAACTAGTCTACAAATACAACACTATCCTGAACTGAAGTGGACTGTCCCAGTTATGCAGCACAGGAATTCTGTTTAGCTAATCCTTTGAATGTTCATTGTATTTAGAATTCTCATAGCATAAATCAGGAAATCTCCTTACCTTTATCTGAGTAGATGAAGCAACTGTCTGGAGTGCATCCTGAGCCATCATTTGATATGTTAATTATTTATGTCTGGAAAAAACACGACTGACAAATCAATTCTTAAATCTTCAGATGCAAACTCACGAAAGCAGGAAGCAGAATGGAAAGAGAAAGCAATAAAGGAGTTGGAAGAGTGGTATGCAAGGCAAGATGAAAAGCTTGAGAAGACAAAAGCCAGTAACAGGTAAAGTTTGTCCAGCCGTTGGAAGAGCCATTACAGTACTGGAGGTGAAAATAGCTGGGGAGGGAGGTTAGAATACTTCTGGTATGTCTTAAGGCACTAGTCCTTTGGATCATTAAAATAAACACTCCTACTAACTATCTTTTTAAGTTTTTTTAAGGAATCTAGATTAAATGTCCAAGAATAGCAAGAGGAGGCATTAAGAATGATCCAGAATCACTCTATCCACTTGTTGGCATGCTCCTAGCTGCACAGGACTTCAGTGATTTCAGCATTTACCTACCCCGAGACCAGCATTCTTATTGCCATCTGTAGAACACGTAGAAATGGGGTTCTAGTTAGACATTGCTACAAATTATTTATAGGTTAAAACCTTTTGCCGCTCCTTTTGGAAGTGTTTCAGAAATACTGCGAGTCAGTTCTACTAGTGAAAAACTAAATGCTGACTGTGTCTGCGGTGGTTTGAATTGTCTAATTATGGGCCCTGTGGCAGAAACTAATGACTTGGCTGCTGGTCCAGTAAGCTCTTACACTATCTGAGGTTCCCTGTGGAATTTTGACTTCAAGCCTACATAAAGGTAAATGTGATAGTACCGATGTAACACCACTTAGATTTCTACTTCATTCTGTCCAGGTAGTCATCAGGACTGCTTTATACTTTGGGAACTCACAGACTTCAAGATGGACTGCTGTTTTGTTTGTTTGTTTGGAGTTTTTTTTGAAACACCATTTTTCTTTGAAAATAGCCATCAGGGTTGTCTTTAGTAAGTGGAGTCCTAGGTAGACTACTCTTCTTTCTAAAGGAAGAAAGGAGGCTTACACTGCCTACAGAATTATGGCTTTGCCACTTCCATTCACTGAGGAATCCACTATCTTTTTGTTGGGCCAAGAAAGGGAAACAGGATTGGTACTTTTCTAGTTGGTGGCCAGAGCTCATGATACCCCCACAGCTTTATTATGGCCAATGTTTGAGTACAGGATATGGAATCTGGAGCAGGGCCCATTAAACAAGTGTTGTGCAGTGTTTGGCGTTCTCATGAGCCTGGTGAGATCTCTTGCCTGATGGTAGTTTCTGTTCACTGGAAGTAGTCTAATGCTAGCATTGGAGCTCTAGTCCTCAACTAGCTGGTCCACACTTCTAGGATGTAGCAGAACTTTTGTGTTGCCCCTCTGATCAATGGCTTAATTAATATATTCCATGTGGTAACTGCTTTCCTGTTACAGTAAGTCTAGGTGATGCAAGGTTAATGTGCTTGTTAAAACTGCCTTCAGCTGTGTTCTGTACTTCTCATCCTTATTTCTTTTCTCCTGCCTGCTTGCCTGCCTGTTGGACTACTTGCTACCTAGGGTGGCAGATGAAGCTTTCTACAAACAACCCTTCGCTGACGTGATTGGTTATGTGTATGTTGCTTAACTACTAATTCTGTTTGCTAGTCAACGAGATACTAAGGAGGATCAGAAGTAGTGCTGAGTGTCTTAAGGTGAATTCTGAATATTTCAGGGCAGTACAAGCTCATATAAGTAAATAGCCTTTACTTTTTGGACCGACTCTGATCTGCAGTATTAAGTGCAGTTCTCTTGTATGCGCTGCACAAAGTAGCACTTTCAGATTGAGTCTTGTAGTATACATACCACTGGAATTTTGGTAATGACATAGGGGTTTACAGTTGGTTCCAGGCCAGTGAACACTGCTTAGCAAGGTGCTTTGCTGGGTATGTGGGTTAGGGACTACAGTTTCACATGGATGCTGTATTTAGTCCTTCAACAGAAAAGCAGTGTTTAAATCTGTAATAGGCATTTGCCTACATAATCAGAAAAATACTCAAGCAGTGCTTGCACATAAAGCTCTGTAAGCCAAGGAAAGTAGAAAGGAATCACCTGACGTAAATCAGGGTAGAAGAGGTGTGTGCATGTAGAAATAGGGGGGACTGTTAAGAGAACAGATGAAAAGTACAAGAAGGTGGTATTGGAAAATCAGCAAAAGCTGCTCAGAAGACATTTAGGAGCAGCTCTGTGTAGATGTTTTGCCAGCCTAATGGGTCAATAAGAACACAGCCATGACTTTCAAGCCCCAGTGAGTATGCTTGTTTCCAAGGGGTAGAAGGAATGCAGTGGTCATTGGCTTGTTCATGTATTTTAATTTCTTCCTTTAATTTGTAGACTTGAATTAAAAGATGGACGTCACAGATTGTAAGGTGACACCTTTAGAAGGTGTACTGGTGAGCCATGTTGTGGCTTTGACTGGATTAATATTGAAGGTTCAGTGTGGAATTCATTAGCTAACTGTGGGTGGATGTAAACCAAGACTTGTGAAATGATGGACTTACAGGTGGTGTTTAACTTTTCTGAAGTCTCCTGGAGTTGATTTTGTTAGTTTTTTTTTTTTTTTCAGTAAAACCCTTATTTTCATATGTCCAATGCAAATGTGCAGTGTAATGCTGCATAATAAAACTGGCTGCCTGTTTCCTGAATGTAGGCTAAGCTACTAGTGCATGTTCAGCCAGCTAATCATCTGCATTAAACTCATTCTCATTTTCTATATCTGACTTAAACTTTCTCTCCTTGTTTCTTTTCTTCTCTTCACCTTTAAGCACAAACATAAATCATCCTTGCTACAGCCTAGAACAGTTAAGTAAAAAAATCTTCACTGCCCCTTAAAAGTGTCATGTCACATAAAGTAGCAGTGTTGTAGTGATCCTTGTCTTCAGTGGTGTCTGTAACCTTATCATCCCTGTGAATAGTGCTGAACCCTCATGGGAAAGTCATTTTCACTGCTTTCTCTGTACTGCTTGTTGGAGTAGATGGATTTGGTTTGATCTCTTGATGCTTATTGCTCTTGCACTCAGGCAGCTACCAGGGCCCCACAGTTCACGTAAACTAGATGCTGGAGTGTTATCCCTGTGTTGAAGCAATGCTATTGGCAGCATAGAAATGCTAAAATAATACAGCTGGAAGCCACTGACACTAACCTGTATATAATATACAAAACCTCCTTAGAGTCTCCGTAGGGTGAGAGGAGTGGAAATGTATTTATTCTGTGAGCTGACCTCAAACGAGTCATCTCCTCTGCCAAAATACACCGTAGTCTATAGCACTCACAAGCATGGGATTCATAACAAATTTCTTATGATTCATGCTGCTTCACTGCAGCATTGGGAATCATCAGCAGATAGTTTTATGATGGCCTGTAGGCCTTGGGGCTGATTTAAATCCTCAAATGGAATCTATTTTAAGTTATGCTCGCAGGCAGTTGTAAATTTCCAGTTGGCAAATGTCCAGTATAAGCCATCAAGTGGCAGGGTCTTAACTAGTTAAGACCTGGGCATTTTACCATAAATAAAATGCCTACATAGAAGTACCTTACCTCCTGGCACTTTGTGTGGCGACTCCTTAGGCAAAGACTCAATAACTGTTCTTAAAACCAAACACCTGTATTCCAACATTTTACACAGCAAACTTCAGCACTGCTTGTGCATAGCATACTATTGCAATCTACTTTCATCTCCAGGATTGGGGCAGTGGGATCTTAAGTGGCCATAATGTCCACAAACAGCTGTCAGGTCACATTCTTATGAAAGAAACTGCATCCTGTAAGAGGGAAGGAGAGTCTTATATGCTGGGCATTAACACAAAGTGCATTGCATTGCTTTTAGGGCAGCTGAAGAAGCCTTTGTGAATGATGCAGAAGACGTTTTTCCGGGCACTGAGTGGGAACGTGTGGCTCAGCTCTGTGACTTTAATCCCAAGTCTAGTAAGCAGGCAAAAGATGTGTCCCGCATGCGTTCAGTCCTCATCTCACTCAAGCAGGCTCCGCTGGTTCGCTGAAGCAAAGCTCAATGGAAACACTACAAATGCAATATCTTAACCTTACTCAGAGAAGCTATGTTTGCAGTAATTTGATTAATTGTTTCAATGTGTTTTTTTGGACAACATCATGATGTATCTAGATCTGATCATTGTTTGATTGCATGTTCTTCCCAATGTTTCCTTTCTGTGTCTGAAATGGGAGAACCTCCAAAATGTAGTCTCTGTGCTGTTGTGCACTGAGGTGTCACTTCCCACATTATTGATATTAAAGATCTGTTAAACAGCAAAATGTGTTGTGGACTTTGGATGAATCAAGGTGGTGTCCTGCTCCCTTTTGACAGATGGTGTTTGAATTGGGTGTGAGCAAACATTTCTCATAATGGCTAGTGATTTCACCTTGTTGCTGACTAGTCCAGACAGCAGTGCTCCTGGTCTCTGCGAGGCTGTCCTGCTTGTTTCATTAAGCTTTCTTAAAGCTCTTGAGGGCTTTAGTTTAAAAACTGCTCCCCTATCCAATTTATCACACTAGATAAAAGCTCTAGGAAACTGCAGCAGCAGGCTTGTTAAGGAGCTTATCTCTCTTCCAGTGGAACTGAGGACACTGACTTCTGCAGGTAAGCAGTTCTGTGTAGTTTTCTGCTGTCACTCTGGCTGCCCATCTTAGTCTCAACATACAGTACAGGGCACTGAGTAGTTTAAAGCTTTTGATATTCTACTGCATATTCTGTTCTGCTAGGTATTCAGTGCAAAAGATCTGTTGTGCAGAGGCTGCTTGGATGTTTTTGAACTGTCTTTGTCCTTACTAACTTTTGCAGAGACTTTCTCCCACCAGGGTGGTGAACTGGAGAGCTGGAGAGCAAGAGAAGGGAAGGCTTGCTCTTACTGCTGTTCGTCTGCGGGTTGGAGCTCTGTCTGCCAAGGTGGTTGAATCTGAAAAAAACCATTCCAGAAAATCACTGTTCTGCTTCCTTGGGTCACCCTGCATTCACAGGGACTGTATTCCAGCCTTGCTCTGTTAAGGCTTACCTTAGTTGTCTCTCCTGTCAGAATAATTTGTTCAGTCTCATATATTATTCCACCATTTTTATCAAAGACACAGGATCTTAACTACTGTGTAGCGTAATTGCTTTAATCCCTTTTACACACAAGCTGGAAGGTTGGTCCAGGCAGCTTGAAAAGGGTTGCAGATGCAGACTAAAATGTACTAACTGTCTTACTAGCAGCTGTCCCCCTTTGGTGGGTAAGATAGAGAATAAATGGTTTCCTGTTGGGCTTCAGAAGTTAAGCTGTACCTTACTGTTGTTTGTAGTGCCTGGAGCTACTTTCATCTTTGCAAGTGTATTCACATGCCGCTGATGAGTGGTGATGAGAATGGTAGTCTGGAACTACCTGCTGTAATCTGCTGCTGACGACAGGTCTGGAAGCTTGATGATTCCATGGAATATATTAAAGCAGGAAGATATTTTCTGAACTGCGCACGGATATCACAGGTGAGTCTAATAGGACTGAAACACAGAGCAAGTCCACTGCTAGCCTTGACTAATGCTGGCACCTTGACTGAAAACTTCCTTTCTTCTGCTGACTCCAAGGCTCTAAAAACAACGGCTTTCAAAATGAATTGATAATCTAATAAAGAAAACTCCATTACGTGAAATTCAGGGTCTTAAAAGTGTTAATATGAATTTAGTAGGATTTGAAAAATGAACATATTAGAGAGGTTTCTGCACACTTAATTATGGAATTTATTGATCATCACATTGCCCTGTCTTACAGGACATTTTATGTGGCTATAGGCATGGCTTTGAGCTGCAATCCAAGAAAATAGGCAAAGACTCAAATCCAAGGCCAAAGCAATATTAGAGCAATATTACAGCAATATTAAAGGAGTATTTTATAAGCTGGCTTTCCAGAGGCTAAGAATATCTTTGCAGTTTTTTTATGTATTTCGTCTAGCTGGAACACTTAAAAGGCAGCTCTGTGGGTTTGGGTTACTTCCTCTAGCTCTTGTGCTGAGATTTTGTAGATTACCTTTTCTGCCTTAATTTTACATTCAAGTATGCTAGCTCACTGTCTCCTTTATCAGTGCTGTTACAGAATCACAGGCTGGCTGTGGTTGGAAGGGACCTCTGGAGATCATCTGGTTCAACCCCTCTGCTCAAGCAGAACCACCTAGAGCCTGTTGCCCAGGACCATGTCCAGACAGCTGCTGAAGATCTCCCAAGAAGCAAAACTCCATCATTTCTCTGGGCAACCTGTGCTAGTGCTTGGTCAGCCTTATAGCAAAAAAGTGTTTCCTGATGTTCAGGAGGAACTTGCATTTCAGTCTGTGCCTGTTGCCTCTCGTCCTGTCACTGGGCACCACTGAAAAGAGCCTGATTGCTCTTTGCACCCTCCCTTCAGATATTTATATGCATTGGTAAGATCCCCCTGAGCCTTCTTGTTTCCAGGCTGGACAGTCCCACCTCTCTCAGCCTTTCCTCACAGGAGAAATGCTCTAGTTGCTTTTTGTTGAACTCTTCAGTGTGTGTCTCCCTTGGGGGAGCTCAGAACTACACTCGGCACTCCTGGGGTCTGGATGTTTTCTGTGTCTGAGAGTTATTTTGGATACTTAGACCTTTGTCACAGTGAGCAGAAGAATACTCAGGGTTTATTTGGGCAAATCAAAGCCCTTGTCTGTTTTTCTGAACATTGACTTGTTTTCTTCAGAAGTCAGCATCTGTCACTTTGTTTTGTGACTTCATGTGACAGATCTGTGCTAACTCTGGCCTAACTGAGCATACTCATCCCTCTTTTTACTGGCTTTAGTTTCCCACAGTTGCTGCTTATCTCCATAGAAAATTGAGTCAGTCTGTGAAAACTGGAAGAAAACCTGGACACTTCCAATCCTTCAGATCTGCAAAGATCTCATGCAGCACTGAGAGAGAAGCTGCATACTCCTGCAACATCCTGGTATAGAACTTGCTTTGTTTAGCTTGTGATCAGGTGGCAGCCAGCAGCTAGGCAGTCTGAAATTACAATGAGCATTTGTGAAGAAGGGGGATGGAGAGGTCATGGGTTCATTAGAAAGCAGGGAGCCTGAAAACAACAGCGCTGTGCATTCATCCTCTGAGCCTGTGGAACGTGGGTAAGTTTTAAGTAGCCATAAAACAATGTGGTGTGGCTTGCCCGTTTATTGGTGCTGTGTTTGTTTCTGAGCAGCTCAGTGAGAGGGAAACATAAATTACTGGCTTGTATTTCAGAATGGACGAGATGGGTGTCTGTTGTCTTTGCAAAGAGGATTCCTTCAGTAGTAGCTGTTATGGGCAAGCTTGTTCCTCTGCAGAACAGTTGTTCTAATACAAACACAATTACCTGGAATGGTCCAAGGGGTGTACAGTCCAGGGGTTTAACACTTACTGCCTGTAACCTCTCCATGGCATTTGAAAGGGACACAAGTGATCAGATTTCTCTGAATCAGAGTATAAATTGTGTCTGCATCTTACTCTCTGTGATGGGTTTTGGTGATACAAAATTGCCATTGCCTCAGTTGATAATACTTACGAGTTTCTGACAATTTTGTTACAATTAAATGGAGGAAGGACAGTGCTTCAGGACCACTGGAAAACTGAGGCATTTGTTGATTCTGAGTGGCTGGATGACAGATCAAAGACTCAAAAATACTGAATAACTAAACTTGCTGGTCAGGAGACAAAAAAATTCAAGCCTTCATGCTGTATGGATTAGCTATATGGTTTGCAAACCATCAGCAATCTCTAAAAAGACAGCTGAACTGGCCTCCTCATGATTCTAAGTCCTAGCTGGATGGGTTTCTGTGGTTAGGCAGAGCTGTTATGGACAAACCAGCTGTTTTCCACCAGCTGCAAGGACAAGGAGCAATGCGGGATAGGAACGAGGTCTTATATTGGCTACATGAATTACACGTTACAACACCTAAGAACTCCAGTTTTAATTCACTTTCCAACCTTTTGGCACTCTACTGCTGCTGTTTGCTTATGTAATGCTGATTATAAACATCCATGTTCATGAGGGATCTTCTACCCAAGCTGTTGATGTCATATGTAATTCTCTTTAGAGGGCTGGACAGTGGCATTCCTGCTTAGGCTTCAGCAGTTAAAATACCACATGCACTTACCAGGGACACTGCAAAACCAGCCTCTACACAACAGGTTGTGTAAGCAGATGCTGCCAGTGCAGACAATGAGAATGCACTGCTGCTTTACGCTCTGAAACACTGACAATAGCTGGGGAAAGAGGGCTTTCACTCCCCCACTTTTTTTCCCGTATTGCATATAAGGTCTGGTTTGCCCTCACTGGAGCTCATGATCTTCATGATATGGGCTGCTCTAAGGGAGCTGCTCTAGGGCCAGCATCAGGTAAGCACAGTACTGCAGATGTTCTGTGAACATCTGATGTTTGCTCCCTCTGGGATTGGATACAGCTGGGAGGTAGTGTCCATGAAAACTCTGGACCACATTAAAGTACCTGAAGAGCAAGGAAGGCTTCTGAACAGGGAAGGAAGGAGAAACAAAATCACTATTATGCTATTAAATATGATTTTTTATTCTTTCTGATTTTATAAACACACAAACTGCTTAGGGAGAAACTGCAAGGACTTCTGCACCGCGTGTACATATGCAGCAGGTTCTCAGCCAGTTGACAGAAAAAACATTTTCAAAAGCATTTTAAGAACTGTTTTTTTAACAGGAATAGATGTTAAAGGTGTTTAGAGTAAAACTTTTCCAATGAGTTTTATTCTCTTGTGTTTTTTCTGTGCCTGCACCCTCCCTTCAGCTGCTAGGGAAAAACATCTGGAGTTTGAGATATCAAAAATACAGAGCTTCAGAGGGTCTGGAAAGCAAAAGCCTGGTCCCACTTGTAGCAAGGCATTCCACCCAGGTATCCCTTGTGATGCTTGAGGATGGAAAGATCAAATGACAGGCCTCCTCACTGTCAGAACCTCAGTGCTGTTACTCCTGATCTGAGCTACTCTCACTGTAGAGAAATGCTGACAGACAATGGTATTGAAGTTAGTGAGAATCACTAAGTAAACCAAGACATGCAGGAAAAGGAACTAAAAATCCCTGGTGACATAAAGCCTACTAAAACGTTGAAAATAGTTAAGAACCAATATTTGCTGATTTGGAGAAAAACTATGGTATAGAGGCTGCACAATTGTTCCTAGACATCAGGAAGGTGGTGGTGGTTCTGCAATCTGCTCTGAAGATGCGAGTTCTCAGTAAGCATTCCTTGTGGAAGAGAGGATGAAGTGAAGACAATCCGTACAGGTAA